CCCACACCTGCCCCCGCTCCTCAGACTCTGCCATACACACCTGTCCCCCTCAGGGCTCCTCAGATCCCACTGTCCACACCTGCCCTCCCGGGCTTCTCAGACCCACCGCATTCCACCTCTCACATCACCCCCAGTTGTTCATTGTTCCCAGGCTTCATTTCCATGTGGCTACATCCAACTGTTCCTGGAGTCCCACTGCCTCAAGTAGGGCTTCATAAACAAATGAAGAGTCAGGGAAGGCAGGAATGAGTGAGTGAATTGAGTGCATGAGTGAATGAATGAATGAGTATGTGAGTTAATGAATGAATGAGTCTATGAGTGAATCAATGAGTGGGTAAATGAATGAATCAATCAATGAGTAATGAATGAGTGCATGAATCAATGAGCAGGTGAATGAGTGTGAGCGAGTGAATCAATGAGTAAATGAATGGGTGACTGAGTGAGTGAATGAATGAGTCAGTGAACAAGTGGGTGAATGAATTAGTGAATAAGTGAATGAGTGGGTGATGAATGAGTGGGTGAGTGAATAAATGAGAGGTCCGGGGGAGGGTTCCAGAAATTCATCAAATCTCCCCTGGGTTGGCAGCTCTAGAACAGATCAACCCATGCAGTAAATATTAGTGGAACATCAATTATGTGCCTGACATGACATAGTGCAGGCACTTTGGGGGACACAGAAGTAGTCTAAGCCGTGGCCCCTCAGGGACCTGGGTTCACAGAGGGAACAAACTCAGGCAGGGGGACACTGAGAGCAGAGGTGACAGCATGTAACCAAAGGACACTAGGCATTTTCAGGACGCTCTTGGCGTCCCTCGGTCTCCTGCACAATGCCTTACAGACAGCAGGAGGTTTGGGGGAGATCGTCACCCACTCTGGGACTGACCCCTGTTGGTGGCAGGCAAAGGCCGGGGTAAGGCCATCGCTAGCCCCGTTGAGAGAGGACCCTGTTGATGCCAGCTTCCCTGGGCTCAGAGAGCAGCACCGGAGAGCCCGGGGCCAGGAGGCAGCGCGGGACCTCGACCGGGGCTGCCCACATGTCTGACTCTACGGGTGATTACAGGGAAATTACAGAGCAACCTCCATCCCTCCGTTGGCAAACCACCACCTCCCCTGGGCGTCTGCGCGCCGGCCCTCTGATAGCATCGAGGTGGGGCACAGACAGGGTCTCCGCCTGCAGCCTCATGTTGGACCCTCCTGGAGACTCCCCAAGGACCTGTGTGGACTGAAAGCTCTGCTGGACACAGGCGACTCATGCGGCTGAGAGGAACCAGAACCAACTGCCATCAAGTCTATGCCAACTCACGGTGACCCCATTTTGTCAGAGTAGAACTATGCTCCACAGAGTTTTCAGTGGCTGAGTTTTTGGAAGTAAATCACCAGGCCTTTCTTCCAAGGTGCCTCTGGGTGGATTTGAACCTCCAACCTTTCAGTTAGCAGCTGTTATGGATTGAATTGTGTCTCCAAAAAATACGTGTTGTACAAAGTTTATTAAGAAAATGTTCTGCATTCCATTTCGGTGAGTGGCATCTGGGGTCTTAAAAGCTAGTGAGCGGCCATCTAAGATGCATCAATTAGTCCCAACCTACCTAGAGCAAAGGAGAATGAAGAACACCAAAGACACAGGGAAAGTATTAGCCCAAGAGACAAAAGGGGCCACATAAACTGGAGACTCCATCAGCCTGAGACCAGAAGAACTAGATGGTGCCCGGCAACCACCAATGACCATCCTGACAAGGAACACAGCAGAGAATCCCTGACGAAGCAGGAGAAAAATGGGGTGCAGAACTCAAATTCTAGTAAAAAGACCAGACTTAATGGTCTAACTGAGACTGGAGGAAACCCAGAAGACACGGCCCCCGGACTCTCAGCTAACCCAGAACTAAAACCATTCTCGAGGCCAACTCTTCAGTCAAAGATTAGACTGGACTATGGGACATAAAATGATACTCGTGAAGAGTGTGCTGCTTAGCTCAAGTAGATACATGAGATTAAATGGGCAGCTCCTGTCCGGAGGGGAGATGAGAAGGCAGAGAGGGTCAGGAGCTGGGTGAATGGACACGGGAAGTCAGGGATGGAAAGAAGGAGTGTGCTGTCACAGTATAGGGAGAGCAACTAGGGTCACACAACAATGTGTATATAAATTTTTGTATGAGAGACTAACTTGAGCTGTAAACTTTCACCTAAAGCACCGTTTAAAAAACATATATGTGTGTTGTAAATCCTAACGTCTATGCCTGTGGTGGAGCCCTGGTGGTGCAGTGGTCAAGTGTTTGGCTGCGAACCAAAAGGTCAGCAGTTGAAATCCACCAGCTGCTCCTTGGAAACTCTATGGGGCAGTTCTACTCTGTCCTATACAGTTAATAGGAGTTGGAATCAGCTTGATGGTAGTGGGTTTGGTTTGAGTGTATGCCTGTGGTTATAATCCCATTTGGGAATAGGGTTGTCTTTGCTATGCTAATGAGACAGGATTAGTATAGGGTATATTTTGAGTCAATCTCTTCTGAGATATAAAAGAGTTTAAACGAGCAAGCCAGAGAAGCAGAGATGGGGAAAGGGAGATACCAAGCCACATAAAGATTGCTCAGGAGCAGAAGCTCAAAAGAGACAAGGACCTTCCTCCAGAGCCGACAGAGAGAAAGCCTTCCCTTAGAGCCAGTGCCCTGAATTCAGACTTCTAGCTCCTAAACTATGAGAAGAATTTCTGTTTGTTAAAGCCACCCACTTGTGGTATTTCTGTTATAGCACCACTAAGTAACTAAGACAGCGGCCGAGTGCGTTGTTTGCACCACCCAGGGACTCCCAGCTGAGAGGAGGTCCAGCCTCAATGGGCCAGGCCTCCAGACTCTCAGATGGGGACCGACCCTCCATTGAACCAGGCCCCGACATGGCTGGGGCTTAGAGAATAATCCGGGAGGCCCTGGGCCCCTCCTTGTCCCGCCAGCTGGGCCTCCCACAGAAGTGCCTCCTTGGCCGCTGCCTCCCTGCTCTCTGCTGCTGCTCTGTCCCCCCACCCCCAGTCCCTGTCACAGTCTGTTTTCTGCAAGCACCCAGATGGGGCTTTTCAAACTGCAGACATACCCATCACGTTCTCACCTTCTGTTAGCTTCTCTCTGTGTTAGCCTTCCCCTCGCCACCACACATCCTGTCTGGCCACGCCGACCCTGCTGTTCTTCAAATGCCCCCAATTACACCCTCCTCAATAACCGTTGTGGACACTGTTCCCTCTGCCCAGAAGAGCTCTCCGGTCCCTGCCTAGTTAGCTCTTGTACTGTCCGTTCTCTGGAGGCCTTTGTTGAGCCTGTTGCCTGGCCCCAGCCCCTGGCATGTCCCTGGTACTCAGTAAGAAGTGTTCAGCGTCACTGTTTAGCTATAAAGAGAAATGAAGTCCCGATACATGCTATGACGTGAATGAACCTTGAAAACCTTATGAAAGAAGTCAGGCACAAAAGGACAAATCTTGTATGATCCCACTTCTCTGAGGTATCTAGAATAGGCAAGTGCATCAGGACGGAAAAACAAAGCTGTCACCTTGAAGACTAAGGTGCACCTGACCCAAGCCATGGAGTTTTCAGTGACTCATGTGCATGCAAAACCTGGACAATGAATAAGGAAGACCGAAGAAGAATTGCTACCTTTGAATTATAATGTTGGCGAAGAATATGGAATATACCATGGACTGCCAAAAGAACCAACAAGTCTGTCTTGGAAGAAGTACAACCAGAATGCTCCTTAGAAGTAAGGATGGCGAGACTACGTCTCACATACTTTGGACATGTTATCAGGAGGGATCAGTCCCTGGAGAAGGACATCATGCTTGGTAAAATAGAGGGTCAGCGAAAAAGAGGAAGACCCTAAATGAGATGGATTGACACGTGGCTGCAACAATGGGCTCAGACATAGCAATGACTGTGACGGTTGCACAGGATCGGGCAGTGTTTTGTTCTGTCGTACCTGGCGTCACTATCAGAACCAATTGGATAGTACCTGATCACAAAAATAACAATCGGGACAAAAAGTGGGTCAGTGCTTGCCAGTGGCTGCAGGAGGGGAGATGGGGAGTGCAGTATGATAGATCACTTTTGTGTGTGGCCTTTCTAGCTGTGGCCTTGTAACTCCCACCCAAGTGATTTGGTGGGACTGTGTGATAGGGTAATTGTGGCCCACAAAGAGATTGGTCAGTTTTCCCATCCCGCTGAGCTTGAAATGAGCCATTCCAGAGACGGAAAGGAGAAGACCCCACCACCACCAAGGAAGAACAGCCAGGAGCCAGCATGTCTTTTGGACCTGGGGTCCCTGTGCTGAGAAGCTCCTGGAAGCAGGAGACAGAGAGAGAGAGAGACCTGTAACCGTGAAGATGGCAAGAAGCGGCAGCAGAGACCGGGCAGCAGGAGATGGCATGATGGACTTCCTGGCCCATGGAGAGAGAAAGCTGAGTGCCTTTGGGCAGAGGTCAAGGGCCAGGGAAGAGGCGTGCCTGTCAGTACAGCTGGGAAGAGGCAGTCCTGATGGAAGAACTGTATCCTGAGCGTTCCTGGGCCTGAATTGTAACCTGTTACTTCCCTAATAAACCCCATAATCATGAGTATTGTCTGTGAGTTCTGTGTGGCCATTGCAGTGAATTATGGAACCTGCCACAGCAGTAGAGAGTGCCATGGGAGGGATGGTTGGTGTCAGAATTGGTAAAGATGGCAGAGAGAGGTGGCTTGTCTGACCCCCACCTCATGGGAGTGAGCCTTGAGATGTTGATCTTGGTTCTCCTTCCCCCTTGTGGGGTTAGAGGAGGTCAGACACCTCCCCCAAGCCATTTTTACAGAGAGTTATAGCTCTAGGGGTGCTAAGCTTCTGTTTGGGGTGATGGAAACATTTTGGAAATAGATAGCGTGACAATTGCACAACATGGTGAATGTAACTAACACACTAAACTGTGCGTTTAAAACTGGTAAATGGCAAACTGTATATTGTGTGTATTTTACCACAGTAATGACCAAAAAAGTAGTAAGTGAACACAAGGGTCACAGCCCAGAAGGGGAAAGAGACTTGTCAAGAAACAAGCCAGAAGAGAATGAAGAAAACCAAAGACACAAGGGAAAGATTAGTCCAAACGACTAACGGACCACAACTACCACGGCCTCCACCAGACTGAGTCCAGCACAACTGGATGGTGCCCAGCTACCACTACTGACTGCTCGGACAGGGATCTCCATAGAGGGTCCCAAACAGAGCTGGAGAAAAATGTAGAAGAAAATTTCAATTCACAAAAAGAGACCAGACTTACTGGCCTGACAGAGACTGGAGAAACCCCGAGAGTATGGCCCTCGGACACCCGTTTAGCTCAGTAATGAAGTCACTCCTGAGGTTCACCCTTCTTCCAAATATTAGGCCCATAAAACAAAATGAGACTAAAGGGGTACGCCAGCCCAGGGCAAGGGCTAGAAGGCAGGAGGGGATGGGAAAGCTGGTAATGGGGAACCCAAGAGCGAGAAGGAACAATGTTGACATGTCGTGGGGTTGGTAAACAATGTCAGAAAACAATATGTGTACTAACTGTTTAATGATAAGCTAGTTTTTTCTGTAAACCTTCATCTAAGGTACAATTAAAAAAAAAAAAAAAGAAGCAGCAGCAGCAGCAGCCAGAAGAACATTCTGGCAAAGAGGAAAGAGGGGACAATGTTGAGAGGGCTCTGTCCGTCCTCCCCAGAGTCAGCCCCGTTCGGAAGCAATGGTTTCCCTCTTGAAAAGCAAGGGACGAAACAGCCAAAAGTAGCCCTGTGTCAGGCCCTGGCCCCAACGCTGACCTTGACCCACTGGCCCTGGCCTGACCCCCCTTCCTGTCCTGTCTTTGCAGACCCCAGGGAAAGTCCTACCTCTACTTCACCCAATTCAAGGCGGAAGTGCAGGGCGCCGAGATCGAGTACGGCATGGCTTATGTGAGTACTGGCGACATAATTCTGGTTTTTAAAAATTACATGTAAGAGACTGCCATGCTTGTTTCATTTCCAGAAATTACTAAAATTTAAAAAATTTGAATTCAATACCTTCCTGCTAGGATTTGTAGGAGGAGCTCTGGTGGTGCAAACAGTTAAGCACTCAGTTGCTAACTGCAAGGTTGGGGGTTCGGACACACCTAGCGGCTCCATGGGAGAAAGGCCTGGCGATCTGCTCCCGTAAAGATTACAGACTAGAAAACCCTAATGGGCAGTTCTGCTCTGTCACATGGGATCACCAAGAGTTGGAATCAACTCCACAGCACCCAACAGCAGCAACAGGAATTTGTAGTAGAGGCATGAAGTTGAAGCTAGCTGACAATCTTGTAAGTCAACGAACGAATCAGCTTCTATTGGATTCTCTTTTATGTGCTTCAGAAAGTAACATTCGCCTCTTAGTAAAAGAGTGTGGGTCTTGTCTGTGTTCTCCGGAAAGCAAACACAGTCATTTTCCTTTCTGATTAGAGTTGCTGTTGTAAAGTTCTCACTTGTTCCCTTTCAGTCTCAAGCCGCATTTGAAAGAGAAAGTGATGTTCCCCTGAAAAATGAGGAATTTGAAGTGACCAAAACAACAGGTACATAAAGGTGGACCCTGGAGGTGGAGCCCAGTTAATCTGAGCAGAGAGGGTGGTGGGAGAGAGAGAAATCAACAGCACCCTCATCAGAGGGGACTAGAGGGCTGTTTAGTGAGGGGGGACTGTCACAGGGTTGCTCTGGATTATAGACCAGGAGTCTGCAAACTTTCCCTGGAAAAGGCCAAAGAGTAAATATTTTGGGCTTTTAAGGCCTTTTGTCCCTTCACCAATAAGACTCTTAGTGCCTGGGGCCTTTGTTCTGTCCCTCACCCATAAGACTTTCCATGCCTGGGGACTTTGTTCTCTCCCTCACCCAGAAGACTCAGTGCTGGGGGCCTTTCATTGTTGGCATCTGCTGCCAGGACTGCTCCTCTCCTCCCTGCCTGTTCCCTCCTGTGGCCTCTCCTGCCACAGTAGGTGCCAGAGTCTCAGGATTTAGAGGTGCTGGGAGCCTGACAATGTGTCTCTTCTTTTACAGTGGCCCATAGGCCGGGGACCTTCAAAGCTGAACTGTCCAAACTGGTGATTGTGGCCAAAGCGCCCCGCAGTGAGCTGTGACCAGGAGCCCCACTGAGTGGCTTCTCCTCATCAACTCTGAGGAGGCAAGGGCCTGGAGGACTGGCGTGTTCCCAATTTCCTGGGGATACTCAGCTTTCTGCCCTGTCGGGAGGAGTTCACCCAGCACTGAGGCACTGGAGCCAAATTCAAAGGGCCCAGAGGCCAGAGGACCTGCCAGGCCCCTTCCTGGCTCTCCGGAACCTTCCCCACCTGCCCTCCTTTGTGCTTCCCAAACAGGAATCCCTGTCTAAGACTCAGCTGCTTGTCCTTCTTACCAGGAAGGGCATTGAGGCACGAGGAGGGTGGGTGTCATGGCTTTTCTGGAGCTGTCTCGTGTGCCCCTCCACGAGGTGGGGGATGCTGCCTGGGAGAACAGCCCCACCTCACTCTGACCATCACGGGGCCCACAGCCCTCATTCATTTCCGGGATGTTTTTCTTACAACTCACCCATGGGACCGCCTCTCAGATTGAGTGGGAAGAAATGCAGTGTTCTTTGGTATTTAAATAAATAAGGCAGGGTTTAAAAGTTAACCACAAAGATGTAGCATCTGGGGCTGGTGGCCTCCCGGCTGGGGCGTATAAAGCAGGGGGCTTTCAGGACAGCGGCCCCGTTACTGAGGCTGGGGCAGGGGGACCCTGGGGAGAGGGATTCGGAGGGAGGCACGCACGCTGCCTGCAGCCGAAAGAACAGGGGCGCTGCACAGCCAGAGGGCAGTGACCCCTGACAGGACTTTTCTGCAGGCACAGAAGCAGCAGCCCTGCTGAAGTGGTGGCCATGAACTTGAACTTGATTCCGTGCATCCCTGGGTGCCAGACAGGCGCTCACTGTCTGCACTGAGTTCATGGCTCTAAAAGTGCCCTTGCGCCCCACAGAGGGAGGGCGCTTGGGGGCCGCCATGGCGCTCCCTGTCAGAGACGGGAGGCCGTGCCTAGCCACGACTTAAAATGGCCACCACCGTCTCCCAGGCCCCATCCCCTTCAGTCCTCACCGCCCGTCCCTGGTCCACCACCACCGCCAGATGCCATCGAGTCTGACTCATGGGGACCCCGTGTGTGTCAGAGTAGAACTGTGCTCCATAGGATTTTCCATGGCTGATTTTTCAGAAGTAGATCGCCAGGCCTTTCTTCTGAGCTGCCTCTGCGTAGACTCGAAACTCCAGCCTTTCGTGTAGCAGCGGAGCACGTTAATTGCTTGCATCACCCAGTGACTCCCCGTCTGGTCACAGCAGCTGGGGAGAGCAGACCCACTCTCGCACCCTAGGGAGTGGGTTTTGGTTTTTTTTGGTTGTTGTTTGAAGCCGGATTTTGGCACAGTGATCTGGAGCAAGATTGAACGCTTCTTTGGAGATTTAAGAAAAAGGCACCCACAGGCCAACAAAAAATAAATAAATAAAAACAAAAGACAGCCCGCCCACTTGGAAGGGCCCTGGAGTCTGAGGCTAGGTTTGAGCCTTGGCCTCACTACTCTCTGGCTGGGTCACCTCGCAAACAAGCAAAGGAGAGGGAACCACAGCCTTCTCCCTTGACTTCCGTCAGCCTGGCCTTAACGAGAGCCCTTGCCAGTTACAACCACAGTACCCCCACTCCAGGAGCTCTGGTGGTGCAATGGTTAAGCACTCAGCTGCTAACCAAAAGGTTGACGGTTCCAACCCACCAGCAGCTCTACGGGAGAAAGACCTGGCGATCTGCTCCCTTAAAGATGACAGTCTAGGAAACCGATGGGGCAGTTCTACTCTGTGACATGGAGTTGCTGTGAGTCGGAATCTACTCGCGGGCACTCAACAGCCCCCGCTTGTTTATGGAGGCAGCTGTTATGGGTCGAACAGTATCTCCCCCAAAAGCTATGCCGAAGTCCTAACCTGTGAATGGAACTTTGTTTGGAAATAGGGTCTTTGAAGATGTTATCAGTTAGGTTCACATGAGGTCATACTGGAGTACCAGTAAAACCAGTTGCCACCGAGTGAACTCCCACTCATGGTGACCCCACATGTGTCAGTAGAAGTGTGCTCTATGGGGTTTTCAATGGCTGAGTTTTTGGAAGTCGATGTCCAGGCCTTTCTTCCAAGGAGCCTCTGGGTGGACTCCAACTTCCAGTCTTTTGGTTAGCAGCTGAGCACATTAATCGTTTGCACCACCCAGGGACTGGCGTAGGGTGGGTCCTAACCCAGTATAACTGATGTCTTACAAAAGAGGAGAGACACAGAGACACGGGGAAGGCGGCCGTGGGAAGACAGAGGCAGACTGGAGTGATGCAGCCACAAGCCAAGGAACGCCTGGGGACACGAGAAGCTGGAAGAGACAAGGAAGGACCGTCCCCTAGAGCCTTCAGATAGCACGGCCCTGCTGACACCTCAATTCCAGACTTCTCGCCTCCAAGCCAAGGACCGCCAAGAATTGCCAGCTGTCACCAGAAGCTGGAAGAAGCAAGGAAGGATCCTCCCCTAGAGCCTTCAGAGAGAGCGTGGCCCGGCCGACATGCTGAATTCGGACTCCCAGCCTCCAGAACTGTGAGACAGTACATCCTGTTCTTTAAAGCCACCCCCTCTGTGGTACTTTGTTACAGCAGCCCCAGGACTCTGCTCTCTGCCCAGGACCACCTACCACCTCCAAATCCCCCACCATGACCAGGGATGAAGTGTGGGTGGGTGGGTAGGGGTAGGGGGAGATGCACAGTGGGACCACAGAACGGTGCTTGCCACCTCCCCTCACCAATATAACTCCATGAACTCTGGAACGGAGCCACCTGGCCTCGGGATCTCCAGTCGTGGTGAGGAGAGAAACAAGGAGCCCTGGTGGTGCAGCAGTTAAGCGCTCGGCTGCTAACTGAAAGGTTAGTGGTTCAGACCCACCCAGTGGTTCGTCGGGAGAAAGACCTGGTGATCTGCTCCTGTAAAGATTACAGCCTAGGAAGCCCTTCGGGACAGCTCCCTTGTTTGGGCGTGTGGACGCCGAGCTCTGTGACTGCTGTCCTGTCATCCTGGTGCCCAGTGGAGCAGACACCGAACTTGTCGTGCAGGGCCACGGAGGTGTGACATTTCTCTGCAGCCTCGCTTTCAAAAGACAGCAGCCCTGGGAGAGCCCGAGAACACTGAGACAGCACCGCGTGTTTGAATCACCCGTCCCGCGAAAGTCGAACAGAAGGCGTGCGATTTTATTTAAATAGGTAGTGGTTTTTTCTTTTTTTTTTTTTTAATTAAATCTCAAATTTATGAAAGCGTGGAGACAGACTGGACAGCCCAGCAGGGAACAAGTACAAGCAGTTATGGACAAGGACAGATTCCCTCAGGGCAGGGTTTCACTGAGGGCTTCTCTGCGCAATCAAAGTGCACATTTGTGCTTGCGTATGAAGACCTGTGAGGAGAAGTTTGCCTTTCAAAGTTGAGACAGAGGTAGGAAGAGCTGGCTCTCTGGTGACAGCCTTTGGCTTGTTCAGGGGAGCCGAAACCAAACTACAGAAAGGCTGCCCTGAGTCTAGGGTTCTAATCTGTCAGCTAGCGGAGCCGACCAGAGAGAGGCAAAAGGGAGTGGTGGGGACTGTGGTAAAGCTATTTCACCATACTGTCACCAGGGGGCAACACGGGCTCTGGCGGTGGGAGCCTGGTGAGTTCTCAAGAGTAACTCCCAATCTACATTCGTCTGTGAAATTGCCTCATTTTTCAATGTTGGCAACTCGGTCCAAATGTCTCAAATACCATGTGGGAGTAACCAAACCCATTTTCTCACCTAATAAGGCCTGCAGGCCTCTCGATTGCAACCTTTGCCCTAAACAGACTTGGTTCTGCAAAACAGCCAGCCAGCAGCACTTGCCCGCCTCCCCTCCCCCGCTGACATACAAAATAACCTTCCTGACCTGGGCATGGCAGTGTTTTGCAACCTTGTCCCCTCCTGACACACCAACATTACAAACCCGCCCCGCACATCACACCCCAGCTGAAAATCTCTGCAGCTCCCTGGTGTCCCCGGAGACCAAGAAGCCTGGTCTCGCCTTCCTCCCCATGGTCTGTCTGATTAAAAACAGTACGGGTTTTGTTCGTTCCTTTGTTCCTGAACGTGAAATTATAATTTTAAAATTTACACGCATCCCTGATGTCTTTACCGTCAACCCCCCAGGTGGGGGGCACCCTCTGTCCCCTGCCCTGTGAGAGTCACCAGGTTACAGCCCATCTGACTCCGGGCTGTGCATTTCCGACAAGATTGGGGCATCCTGCATCTGCGGGAGTTTTCATCCAACTGGCTCTGGTGTCAGTCCGTGTTGCACCCTTCCTCCCAGCTCGCCGCCGTGACCTTGTTGGAAAGACTGAAAAAGCCCAGGCCACCTCCTTCCGGGGAAAGCGTTCTTCTAGCGTGAGCGGCCAGGCGGTCAGCTTTCTGATCACAGAGTGGCTCCAGGGGCAGAGATGGGACCCACGAGAGTCAGCACGGAATACAGCCAATTGGAGCGAAAGGCAGAGCCTGAGGAAAGAACGGGCTGGTGCTTGGGGGACAGCTGGACCCAGGAGGCGGTCCATCTCCCTGTTGAATCCCTCTCCCCATCAGGCCAGGGACCTGAGACCCAGTAAGCCGGAGGCACTGCAGGTGTTTAAACTGCTGGTACAGACGGCTAGGGAAGGCCGTGATGGTGCAGTGGCAGAGCTCTCGCCCTCCACGCAGGAGACCCGGGTTCAGTTCCCGGCCAGGGCACCTCCTGCACAGCCACCACCTGTCTGTCCGTGGAGGCTGGCGTGTTGCTAGGATGCTGAGCAGATTTCAGCAGAACTTCCAGACTAAGACGGACTAGGAAGAAAGGCCTGGTGATCGACTTCCAAAAATCAGTGAGTGAAAACCCTGTGGATCACAACAATCCAGTCTGCAACCGATGACGGGGATGGCGCGGGACCGGACAGTGTTTCGGCCTGTTGTGCCTGGGGTCGCCGTGAGTCAGGCCCCATCCTGATGGCAATGAATGACAGCAGACCACTTAGTGTCCTCTCAAGTGCAGGGGGGTCTGCTGGCCAGAGTCAGATTGGGAGGAAGCCCCCAGCAGAAGGAAGCGGAGCGAGAGCCCCCGCAGGAGTGCCCGCCCCGAGGGCTCAGATGCTGCCCTCGTCCAGCATCTTGCTGAGGCCCTCGCAGATGCGGCACAGGTGGGAACGGTAAGGCTCGGCCGGGCCGTAGAGTGTCGCCAGGAAGTCACAGTCGGCAAAGTGGCTGAAGACGTGGTTGATGCGGCCGTGGGACTTGGCGGTCAGGTGGGGGCCCACGGCCTGGTGCAGCAGGTCCCGGCACTCGAGCAGCGCAGCGGCCAGCACGCGCCGGTCGAAGGTGAAGTCCACCTGGTGGAAGCTGACGGCCGTCATGGCCAGGCTGCGGGCCCGCCGGCGCAGACGCTGCAACAGCGCCAGCTCCTCGCTGCCCAGCTGGCCGCCGCGGAGCAGGACGCCCAGCTTCAGCACCACCTTGACCAGGTTCTTGACCACCTTCTGGGCCTCCTTGCGGCTCCGCGTGAACTCCTTGGTGGCGCGGTAGAGCTCGTCCAGCACTTCGCTGCTGGTGTCGTCGATGAGCACGGCCACCACCGCTTTGGATGCCATCTTGCTCACCAGCTTCTTCTGGGCTTGCAGGGCCAGGCTTTTGGTGCTGAAGGCGTCCATGAGCCTGCGGGGAGCAGAGACAGCCTGTCAGCCCTTGCACACCCCCGGTGGGACCCGCATGCCAGGTACCCCCACTCCTCCTCCACCCCCTTCTATGACATGGGCCGCTCTGGCTTGCTACCTTTGTCTTCCCAGTCTGTAAAATGGGCACAGGTCTCAGGGAGCCTTACGATGGAGCTGCCACCCTTAGCAATTCCACTGATGTTTTGGGGGCACTATAAGGAGTCCCAAGGGCCCTGGTGGCACCATGGTTGAGCGCTCGGCTGCTCAGTGAGAGCTCAGTGGTTCAACCTCAGCAGCCACTCCAGGGGAGGAAGATGTAGCAGTCTGCTTCGATAAAGATGACAGCCTTGAGAACACGATGGGGCAGTTTTACTGTGTCCTACAGGGTCGCTAAGAGTTGCAGTTGACTTGACGGCAATGGGTTTGGGGTGGGTGTGGGTGTGTGTGTGTGTGTGTGTGTGTAGTCCCTGTGGTTAACTGCTTGGCTGCTAACTGAAAGGTCAGTAGTTCAAACCCACTCAGCAGCTCCATGGGAGAAAAGACCTGGCGATCTGCTCCTATAAAGATTACAGTGTAGAAAATCCTATGGAGCGGTTCTGCTCTGTCGTACAGGGTCACTGTGAGCTGGAATCGACTCAACAGCACCCAACAACATAAGCAGTCCCTAGGTGGTGCAAAATAGTTAAGCGCTCCACTACTAGCAGAAAGATTGGCAGTTTGAACCCACCCAGAGGTGCCTCAGAAGAAAGGCCTGGTGATCTGCTTCCAAAAGGTCAGAGCCCTGAAAACCGTGGAGCACAGTTCTGCTCGGTACACTGCTAACAACGACAACGTAAGGGTCACCCGCGAGCCCATCCCACAAACCGACCATGAAGCACCCACTGTGTGCCGGGGCTGGGTGCAGCACGGTGATGGGGGCGGACGAGTGCTGTCCTCCGGAAGCTGGCTGGTTGTCGCCAGTGGCCGGAGCACAGAGCACAAAAGTGGGGCAAGAGACAGGCCAGAGAGACCGTGGGAAGGGCCTGCTCCAGTGTGTGGTGCAGAGAAGGGCTATGGGGGGGCTGTCGCGGGCTGGTCCAGGATGGGGGCGGGGAGAAGTGGACAGATTTAGGAGGTGGCATGGCCAGGGTTTGGTGATTGGATGGAAGGGTGCACAGGGAGGGGGGGCCTGCGGTTTCTAGACTTCCCAGGCTCTGGGGCCTCCCCCTCCAACCAGTCTCCTTCCCCCAGCTCTGGAATTCTTCCTCAATCGCAGAGCCGCTAAAAACCAGCCGGCAGTTCCCCATGGCTCCCGGGACTGTGCCCCCACCTCACCCAGACCCGGCCTCTTCCCTGCTCATCCTTCAAGTCTCAGCTTCACCATCCACCTCCTGCTGGACTCCTATACACCCCCCAACCCCCTGGCCTCCCAGCCCCTGCCTCTTCCCTGGTGGACTCCTATACACCCCCCAACCCCCTGGCCTCCCAGCCCCTGCCTCTTCCCTGGTGGACTCCTATACACCACCCAACACCCTGGACCCCAAGCCCCTGCCTCTTCCCTGGTGGACTCCTATACATCACCCAACACCCTGGACCCCAAGCCCCTGCCTCTTTCCCTACCACCTCCTCCAGGAAGCCACCCCTGAGCTCCCAGGCTGATGAGGAAAGTGCCTCCTCTGGGCCTCACATACCCCAGGCCTCCCCCTAGTTTTACAGCTGTCTCACCCCAGGCCACGGGGGAGGCCATGCCTGATTCCTTCTGCGCTGTGTCCCCAGAGGCTCCAGAAATGCCTGCCAGTGAGTGAGGGGAGCCTGCAGGAACCCGGAGAAGAGGGGAGGGCCTGAGACCCAGCCCCCCTCGCCCGCTGCCCCAGCCCAGCTGCAGCCCTGGCAGACCAGGAATGCCGCGTGGGCACCCGCTCACCCCCGGGAGCCCCCACAAAGCCCGTCTTTGTGCAAGCTCAGACCACCCCGGAAGAAGTCCCAATCCCAGCCGCCCGCTCGCCTGCCCTCGGCGGCCCGGGCTGCTGGAGAAGTCTTCCCTGGCCCTGCCTCGGTCACCAGAGCCCGGCTCTACACAGCCCTGGGCCAGAACAGGGGTGCGTGTACTCAGAGCTGTGTGGCCGGCCCTGCCGGGCAACACGTGCCCCTTTGTCATTTCCGCCAGATCTGCCCTTCTGCGGGAGGGCTGCCAGTTTTGCAGACAAGAACACAAAAGCTCAGAGAGGCTGAACTGCTTCCCCGAGGCCACACAGCAATACAGCAACAGGGCCAGGGCTTGAACGCAGTCAGCCTGTTCCTAATACCCCTGCTCCCCGAGCTCCTCGCCTGCTCACCTGGGAGGTACCAACCCCCGCCTTCCCCACCTAATGCCTGAGAGTCACCTTGAGTCTGCCCCTGCGCCCCATGACAAAATGAGCACCCTGTGTGGGGCCCGCTCCCGGCTCTGACCTCTCAGCAAGCGACATCACTGCCAGTGCTTCAGTTTCCTCATCCGTAAACTGGGGAAGCGCAGAACCAACTTCTTCCTGGAGCAGAGCCCGGGCCACTCCCTGCCCCCTAAGCTGTGAGTCCCCAGAATGCTGGGACCCGCTGCCTGGAATCCACCATCCAGCCTCCCCAGCTCAGCACTCTTTGAGCTGGTAAACCTAGTTCTTTGATACATTCGGTGAATGCCAGTTTCTCCAGAATATTCCGTCTCTCATGTTCCGTCTACCTGGACCCCTCCCCCCAGTCCTATTACTCATCTGGCAAACTCTTGCTCATCCTTCAAGACACCTCCTCCTGGAAGTCCTCCCGGATGACCCAGGCTGAGTCAGGTGCCTCCTCGGCTCCCATAGCGCCCTGGGTGTCCCCTGGCATAGCCCTGGGCACCTGGGTTTCTGTGCCCACACCGTCGGGCAAGGGCTGCATCTGTCTTGCTCGTGAATGTCCTGGTGCCCAGCCCTGGGCCTGGTACACAGTAGGTGCTTCATGAGTGTTTGCTGAATGCAGGAGGGAAAGGATGTCTGCAAACATGAGAAATTAGAGGAAACCTCTAGCCACTTAATCCCGCCTGCCCACTTTACAGATGAACAAACTGAGGCTGAGAGAGGAGAAGGCCTTAGCCCCCAGGTCTTTCTGCCCATTCTGGGTGGCTGTGTGACCCCGGCAGGGCTCTGCCTCTCTCTAGGCCTCAACCTTCCCATCTGCGCGTCCTGAGGTTGAGTGTGTTGGTTCAGGAGGGGAGCCGGCTGCAGCTTGTTTACCGACGTCAGGAAGAGCCTGGGCTCCCAACTGTCCCACCCCGGCAAGCCCAGCAGGAAAATGGCCGGGGGAGGAGGCAGCTGCAGCCTCCCCTCCAGCCTCCACACCCCTCCGCCAGCCACCAGACATGCCCACACCTGGGCCAGCCCAGCTGCGCGCCTCCCCTTCCTCCTGCTAACCCATTGTTCTGCCAGAAACCCCTCCATCCAAGCTGCCAGACAGGGCAATGACCGCCATCCCCAGGGAAAGGCCGTGGACGAAAATAAACGGCGGCTTCCTTCCTGCCTTTGCACTCACCCAGGCTGAGACCGGCAGGCCAGGGGGCTGCCCAGGCTGTGCCACCTGGCCCTTCCCTGGCAGGGACTATCCCAGAGAGTACTGAGGGGCCACCTCGTGCAGGGCTACACTCAGTGTCCCTGGTCCCTGCCCCCAAATGCCAGGACACCCCACCACTGTCACAAGCAAAAAGAGCCCCTCAAATTTCCCAAGTGGCCCCCTAGGAGGCCTTGTTGTCCCTGCTGGAAGAAGGAGGTGCCAGAAACTTGTAAAAATAGAAATGTTGTTGTTTTTTTGTTGCTGTCAAGTCGATTCTGACTCATAGAGACCTCATGTGACAAGGTCAGGTTTTCTTGGCTGTAATCTTTATGGGAGCTGATCGCCAGGCCCTTCTCCTATAGAGCTGCTGGGTAGATTCGAACCACCAACCTTTCAGTTAGCAGCAGAGCGCTTAACTGTTGTACCACCAGGGCTGGCGATCTAGTTCCCAAAAACCAGCCATTGAAAACCCTATTGAGCTGACAGAACTGGCTGTCTATCTGTAGAAAGATGAAACAGGACCCATACCTCACACCATACACAAAAACTAACTCAAAATGAATCAAAGACCTAAATGTAAAACTATAAAGATCATGGAGGAAAAAATAGGGACAACACTAGGGGCCCTAATACATGGCATAAACAGAATACCAAACATAACTAAAAGTGCATACGCAGCGGAAGACGAGCTAAATAGGACCTCCTAAAAATTAAACGCTTACGCACAGCAAAAGAGTTCTCCAAAAGAATAAAAAGAGAACCCACAGATTGGGGAAAAAATGTTGGCTAAGACATATCGGGCAAGGGTCTAATTTCTAAAATTTATAGAAAACTTTAACACCTCAACAAGAAAAAGACAAACAACCCAAGCAAAACACGAGCAAAGGACACTTCGCCAAAGAAGATATTCAGGCGGCTAACAGACACGTGAGGAAACGCTCTCGATCATTAGCCTTTAGAGAAATGCGAATCAAAACCACACTGAGATACCATCTTACCCCGACATTACTGGCACGAATCAAAAAAACAAAAAATAACAAACGTCGGCAAGGTTGTGGGGAGATTGGAACTCTCATACACTGCTAGTGGGAATGCAAAATGGTACAACCACTATGGAAAATGGTATGGCGCGTCCTCAAAAAGCTAGAAATACAAATACCTTATGATCCAGCAATCCCACTCCTAGGTATATACCCTAAAGAGATAAGAGCCGTGACAAGAACAGACATAAGCACGCCCATGTTCATTGCCGCATTATTCACAATAGCAAAAAGATGGAAACAACCCAAGTGCCCATAACGGATGAATAGATTAATTAACCGTGGTACATACACACAACGGAATATGACACAACGATAAAGAATAATGACAAATCCTCGAAACATCTCACAACATGGAATAACTTGAAGGACATTATGCTGAGTAAAATTAGTCAATCACAAAAGGACAGATATTGTATGA